AATTTATGTTTTTTTACTATTGGTCTTAACTCTGTCTCTTGCAGTACAGTTTTCAATGATGCTAAGTTGGGTTATCGCATCATACGAGTATTTGGACCATACGTTTATGGCCATGACCATATGCATATTCTCATATGGTCCGATCATTTTTTTTCGAATATCCAAACTTGAACCAATATTGTATGCTCATTTATCCTACTTGTGTGCTTTTTGTTTAGCAAGTTCTATAGATACAACACAAATATGTTCAGTAAATAAGATATAAAAAAAAATATGACTTAAAAGGTATATGATGCGATGGCAGCAAAAAAACAAACAGGTTTTGGCATATTGCACTGAAATTTCCCAATTGCATAAAAAAATATTCGTAAGGGTTCCGCGGAACCAAGTGTCTCGCCTACTTTTGCTGTTAGTCGCCGGCTCAACAAAAATGGGGAAAAATTATTAAAAATTTTCCTCTAGATACTATCTTTCGATTGTAAGAAGCTTCTATCCAAGTTTGGTAAAAATCCAGGATGGTTTATGAATCTAATAAATGTTTTAAAAACTTTAACTGCAGACTGTATGTAAGGTTAACTGGAAGAAAAGCTAAGTCCATTTATAAGTAATATACGGAAAAACAGGAAATAAATTTTTACAAAATTTCCTTCTAGATACTAGCTTTTGATCATAAACAAGCTTCTGTCCAAGTTTGGTACAAATCCAGGATAGTTTAAGAAAGTTATTAAAATTTTAAAAACTTTAACCACAGAGTGAATGTAATGTTAACTGGCAGAAAAACTAAGTCCATTTATAAGTAAAATACGGATAAACAGGATTTTTTTTTAACAAAATTTACTTCTGGATACTATCTTATGATCATAAACAAGCTTCTGTCCAAGTCTGGTACAAATCCAGGATAGTTTAAGAAAGTTATTAAAATTTTAAAAACTTTAACCACAGAGTGAATATTTGTGGACGCCGCCGCCGACGACGACGACGACGCCGACGACGACGGAATGTAGGATCGCTATGTATCGCTTTTGCGACAAAAGTCGCAGGCTCGACAAAAAGCAAAGAAAAACTTTTTATATTTTTAACCAGGTACACACAGCTCGTTCTCTAAACCCAAAACGTTACTAACTTAAATCCTTTTCATCTATGGCATATTGTCTGCATCTGGATTAGAGCCTTTGCTAGTCATGATAGTGTTAATTAAAGGATTTCGTTGGTAAAACAGTAGACGTTATGTTAAATATTTTATTTAGATTATATCATAACTTTGATTAAAAAAACTGAAAATTTAATATTTGTAAATTTACATAAATTCTTCCAAAATGTATATTCATAAATTTTTATAAACTCTTTTTTATGTCAAATCGAAGGGTCATACCTTATAAAAGGAGTTGGATCATTAATTCATAATTTCGGCCCTAAAAATCTGAAAATTTATTACTGCGATGATGTGAAAATTTTATCATAATCAAAGCACTGTTAGCGCTAAAGGCAGTTAATCAAAAACATGATGAAAACTGTGGCAGTGTTGCTTAAATTGTTTATCACAGCTTGTTATATCTCATGTCTCAGATTTTTTTTTGTCATGTGCTGTACTGATTTCCACTATCCTACACACTTTTCTCTAACAATATACCATTTTTTTCAAACGTTTATTATTCATTTTTAAATTACTTTAAATATGTATCCTTTCGATGATAGATTGTATGAGAAGATGTATGTACACTGTCCCAGGTAAGGGGAAGGTCTGGCGCCAGTAAACATGTTTAACCCTGCCAGATTACGTGTGTGTCTGTCCAAAGTCATTCAGTGGTTGTCATTTGTTGCTGTATATCATATTTATTTTTCATTATTGATTTGTACATAAATCAGGACGCTGGTTTTCTTGTTGGAATTGTTTTACATTTGTCATTTCAAGGCCATTTACAGCTTTATACTATGCAGTATGGGTTTTGCACATTGTTACAGGCCGTATGTGACATACAGATGCTTATTTCTATCAACTTCTCAATACACTGATGAATGAATTTTTCTTATGCAGGAATAATATCATCAGAATTAAGATTTTCCACACAGGTGTATAGCTTAATTCCACTATGTTCTAAGTGGAATTAAGCTATACACCACTGTGGAAAATCTTAATTCTGATGATATTATTCCTGCATAAGAAAAATTCAAATGCCACATTAGCATTTTTAGTTAGATCAGCAGGTGTCACTCCGTACAAAAACTGATTTAACTAGATATCATTGAGATGGGAGCCATCTCTGTGGGCCCCGCTGTGAATAATGTGTGGTAAAAAATTTGTATCTTTATCATTGGACATGGGGTTGTCAACTGAAACCAAAGTTTTTGACCTTGACCTTTGAACAAGGAAGTTGTACATAAATTATTATACACCCTCTGGTGTTGGTTTATATACATATCAAGTATAAACTTTGAAATCATAACGGTTCTCAAGATATAGAGCGGACACGATCTTTACCATAGGACATGGGGTTGTCAACTAAAACCAAAGTTTTTGACCTTGAACTTTGACCTAGGAAGTTGTACATACATGATGACACACCCTCTAATGTTGGTTAATATACATGCCAAGTATAAACTTTGAAATCATAACGGTTCTCTAGATATAGAGCGGACACAATTTGTTACGGACGGACGGACGGACGGACAGACAGACAGACAGACGGATGGACAGACTGATCACTATAGGGCGTCCGCCATTCGGCGGGGCCTTAATAATACTGGGAACAATTTGAGGCGTGGTAATTTTATTGTTTATCATGCATGGATCATATTACACAAAAAGATTATGTTGTTAGGCTAGAAATGCGTTTAATTTTCTTTTACATTATTGTACTTCTAAGTGTCCAACCTATTACATTTACATCAAATTTCATACAAATATTTTTTCTGTCTTTTTTTAATATGTTTATATATTTCACTTCTTACATACTTTATAAAACATATTTCATGTATCTGCACATTGTATCATCGTTATGTATTCAAACTATCTTTATATAACTGATACCTGGGTTACTACTTGTATATATATTGATAGTGTGCAATGATACGATGTACATGTATCTCCTACATTTTATAGTAACAGTTGCACAGACATTTCATAGTTCTGATAGTATCATTAGACAGCCTTTAATAGCTGGACCGTTACAGTAAACTCCATGACAAATTATATTCATGTGTTGTAACCCGTGGCAATTTTGTAAAAATTCCTGTCAGAATTCTGAACCAAAATTTGTCTGACTAGTCGTCATATGATAAGACCTGGTAAAAATTTTCATATATACATGTACTTTGATCATATCTGTAGATCATGTACATGTTTAACTATATTCGAAACATCAAAAAGGTCTAAAGTTTCATAGCGGTCATGGAATTATTATGATGACTAGTCAATGCAGCTACTAGATAGTCTCATATATTGTACATGTATGTCTTGTCACTTCTAAGATATTAAAGCCAAGAATTGGAATCTAGCTGAAATAAAAACAAATACAAAAATTTATATTGTTTATTTAGACATACAATCATGATAAAATATATTTACACAAGTTTTGTCCATGAAATTGAAAAGAAATCATTTTGAGATCATGGGATATTCTTTTTTTTGGGTTAGATCAAAGTTTGATTTTCGACAAATTAAAAAGATGAGCAGTTTGAGAGTCAGAGAGATAAAATTATGTTAAATTTTATTTCTTTCATTCAATTCTATACATACAATTTACATGTCATTTAATAGTATGCTCTAGTCTGCCTCTGTTGTAAGTTGACTCATGGTCTCTGATAGGTCTATCAGACAGAATTATATTGTAAATACCAAAATTTAGTAGTTAATGTTTATTTGAGTTGACTTTTAGTGGTATCAGTTGGTTGGCGTGGTACGACTTTGCAATAGTGCGAGTTGACTTGCTTCCCTGTGGAGAACACCGAGTTTGTTCAATTTAAGTTCTACGGTACAATGACACAAATCAGATAATGCCTTACTATTACAGCAATCAAAGGTGAGGCCGTCTGATTGACCTGCCTTTAGTAAATGTAAATGACCCGCCCCCTCCAAGTCCATGATGTTACTTGAGATCTATACCAAGATTGGAATAAATAAACGGTTGGTCGAACATTCTTGGACTTTACACTTATTGAAAGATATAGCTTCTTTAAAATTAGCCATAAATCAAGATTTTCTTTAGGCCCAAAAATAAAAAAAGTTCTGGTTTAGAAAAAATGTCATAAACATTGAAATGTCAAAGTCGGACGACAGGCACTTGTTTTTATGCATGGGAAGATCCACTATCAACGTATATTATGAGCTCCTAAATCTTCCCATGGATATAAACAAGTGCCTGAGAGTCGGTAACTGGCTTCATGTCATGATCAAGATAATTTAGATCGAATTTTTCTATCCGCATATATTTCCCAATTCACATTTGCTGATTTTATTCATTTTTCAGACATCCGTACCTGTATACAGTAATATATGAATGGGTTTTTCTACATTTTCGTGTGACTTACTATGATCAAACGATCTTTCTAGGTCTATTATCCATATCACATTCTACTGTCATTCTCTGTAAAATTGACATATTTACAAGGTCACACTAATTAGAGACAAGAAGCGACAAGAAGCGTCATGAAGTACGTAGGGCTACTAAATGCAACAGAATTTAAAACTTTACAAAACAGAAAAATATCAACTGTAATTAATTGACTTTTCTTTAAATTTATTATTTTAATAGTATATAAACTTTCTTGTCTCTAAATTTATCCTCTTGTCGCAAATTCATTCTTCCTGTCGCTAACTTTTTTCTACTTGTCGCTTATTGTCTCTACAATCTTCTTTTCGCTTATTAGTGAGACCTTCTTGATTTTCTTGATTTCCGGTTTAAATATTTCATTCATAAAAACAAGTGTAAACACCACCTGTTGGTGCATTAATACTTGACAAGGTCATTTATGTGAAAACGGAATAATATGAAAGGAAGAAATTCAAATGTGAATACACAATTTATTAACACTCATCTCAAACAAAAAGAATATCATGATTAACAATAATTACCCTTCTATCATCAGAATCCTCCAAATTTAAACGGTACGTAAATTTCGTCTTCTAAGTTAAAATTGCCGCCAACTTAGACTACTGTAATACGTAGTGCCGACAAACAATATTCCTACGACATTTGCCATTTGGGAAATGTAAACAACTTGTCTTTAGAGATTTTCGGCGATTAAATATTTCATACAATTGTTCTTTGACATCTTAGCCAAAAGTACAGGGAAAAATAAATTACATAAGGATTTCTATTGAGCACTACTTCCTATGTGCAACTTCGAAAGTTTTGGGTTGTTCGACGATCATTTAAGGTTTTTCTGGTCATATTTTTTGTATTCCAGAATTGATAGTACGAAAAAAGTGCCCAATTAGTTATTAATAACATATTAGCCAGCTAGATAATAACAACAACACTTTTTTCACCATTCAGTGGGAAGAACACAAATCTAGGGCGGTAGCATAAGGCAGCTTAACTGCCTAAAAACATATGTTAAAATGTCCAATTGTTTCAGTAAAAACAACTACTTAATTTGGCAAAGATTTTTGACAGTTTTCTGAAAAATTTACAGTGTTGCCACACCTCGCCCACAAATATTTGTGCTGAACCATTTTAAATACACCATATTCATTACTTTTCGCAAACACAATTTTAATAAGCGTGGGGTGGTGCCACATATGAAATCAAGAAAAATCGAAATAGGTGACGATTTTCAAGAAAAATGGACTAATATGAAATCTTTCCTATTTCAGACTGATATATTTATAATATATATAAAATATACATTTTTTCCTATTATACTTTCAATAAAATGCTCCGCTGGGCGCAGCTTGATACGACCGCAGAGGTCGAACCCTGAACAGTTGGGGCAAGTATGGACACAACATTCAAGCTTGATACAGCACTGAATTTGGATTGTGATTAAATATTTGACACAGCATAGGTTTCTGACACAGAATGAATGTGGTCTAAGAACTTAAAAATTTTAATTTACCTATTCAAACCATATCATTATTATTTGCTTTTATATATAAATCAGAAATAACCAATTTAAAATGGAAAATTTTAAAGAAAAAAAAGGAAAAAAAGGAAACCCCAATTTTTTGAACCCCCTTATGATTCATCACCCCCAAACTCAATCCCAGCCTTCCCTTTGTGGTACAATTTCAGAGAGATCCATACACTTAAACACAAGTTATTGTCTGGAAACTAGAAAAATGCTTGTTTTTTTGTTGCCCCTTTTGGCCCCAAATTCCTAAACGTTTAGGGCAATTACCCTCAATATCAAACCCAGCTTTTCCTTTGTGATATGGAACCTTGTAGTACAATTTTATAAAGATCCATACACTTACACACAAGTTATTGTCCTGAAACTAGAAAAATGCTTGTTTTTTGTCCCTCTTTTGGCCCCTAATTCCTAAAATTTTGAAGCAATTACCCCCAAAATCAATCCCAGCCTTCCCTTTGTGGTATGGTACCTTGCAGTACAATTTCAGACAGATCCATACACTTGAACACAAGTTATTGTCTGGAAACTAGAAAAATGCTTATTTTTGGCCCCTTTTTCCTAAACGTTTTGGGCAATTACCCCCAAACTCAATTCCAGCTTTTCCTTTGTGATATAGAACATTGAAGTACAATTTCAGAAAGATCCATACACTAACACACAAGTTATGTCTGGAAGTTACAATAAAATGCTTCGCTGAGCGCAGCCTGATACGACCGCAGAGGTCGAACCCTGAAAAGTTGGGGCAAATTTGGACACAATATTCAAGCTTGATACTGTCTGAATTTGGATTGTAATCAGATTTTTGACATAATATAGGTTTCTGACACAAAATAAATGTGGTCAAAGATCTTATAAATCCATTGCGCAATACTGTGCAATTGAAGATTTCGTCTTGAAACTTTTCAAAAATCCGAAATTTTAAAAATTTTGAAAAAAAAATATGAATCCCTTAAAAACAATTGGGAACCTCCCCCCCCCCCCCCCAACTTTTTGAAAACCCCCCTTGGAGCAATAACCCCAAAACTCAATCCCAGCCTTTCCTTTGTAGTATGGAACCTTGTAGTACAATTTCAGAGAGATCCATACACTTACGCACAAGTTATTGTCTGGAAACTAGAAAAATGCTTGTTTTTGGCCCTTTTTTTGGCCCCTAATTCCTACATGTTTGGGGCAATTCACCCAAAACTCCATCCCAGCCTTCCAGTAGTTATATGGACCTTGTGGTACAATGTCAGAGGGATCCATACACTTACACACAAGTTATTGTCTGGAAACTAGAAAAATGCTCGTTTTTGGCCCTTAATTCCTTAACTGTTGGCCTCATAACCCCTAAAATGAATCCCAACCTTCTACTTGTGGTATTAAACATTGTGGTACAATTTCAGAGCAATTGAAATACTTATACACAAGTTATTATCCTGAAACTAGAAAAATGCTTGTTTTGGGCCCCTTTTGGGGCCCTTAATTCCTAAACGGTTGGGACCATCATCCCCAAAATCAATCCCAACCTTCCTTTTGTGGTATTGAACCTTCTTAAATTTCATCAAGATCCATTCACTTAACCTAAAGTTATTGTCCGGAAACCAATGTGTCTTCGGACGACGACGCAGACGACGACACAGACGACGACGACATCATACCATTATACGATCCCAAAAAAAATTTTGCGGTCGTATAAAAATGCTTATTTTTGGCCCCTAATTCCTTAACTGTTGGTACTATAACCTCTGAAATCAATCCTTCCTTTTGTGGTATTGAACCTTATGGTAAAATTTCATAGAGATCCATTCACTTAAACTAAAGTTAGAGTGCGAACACCAATGTGTCTTCGGACGACGACGACGACGACGACGCCAACGTCATATCAATATACGACCGCAAAATGTTTTTGCGGTCGTATAAAAATGATACATTTAGCAATACATACAGTAAATTTACTCGAAAAATTGAAGTTTAAAACATGCACCTGTACAAGGCTGTGTATTGAAGTTTCTGGCTCTACTCCTTTATACATGTATTACAGTACATGTATTAAACGTTAAACAAAGGATCTACATAGTAAAACTTGTAGTAAGTCTTACTATATACATACTAGGTTAAAGGTTTCAACCTTCATCGTGTTAATTACCCAGGCCATAGGCATATGGTCGGACCATATAAGTATATATTTACAGGGTCATGACCATACTTGTTGTAGGTGTATGGTCCAAATACTCATATGGTCCATAACATTTATATAGTCCAATTGCCATAAGAACGAAAAAATACTTGTAAACCAATCAATTTATTAACAAAAAAATCCATAAAAACTACCAATTTTCTTTTACCATTATGTTTATAGTAATGAAGACCATGTTGGTTGATCAGCTTTGGTTGATCAGCTGGGACACTATGAACTAATCTTAAACTAGACGACAAAAAGGACGATTGTGACTAAGTTTGATCTCAATTGGACAAATGGTTTCACGAGACAATTTCTTTTAAAACTTAACAAAAGGACTAGGACTACAACAGATAAATGACTGGGGACAAGTTATGGCAATAGCTCACAGATACACTGACCATTTGGACCAGTTTAATTGTTCTCTCACTGAATAATACAAAATTTGGTGACTATGTTGAACGAATCTATCCCATCGAACTAGAGATAAAGGATACTACAGATACAGTTAAGTCTGTCTCATATCTTGACTTACATCTAGCAATTGACAATGAGGGTCGGTTGAAAACAAAACTTTACGACAAAAGAGATGATTTCAGCTTCCCAATTGTGAACTTTCCATTTCTAGGTAGCAACATTCCAGCAGCGCCTGCATACGGAGCATATATCTCCCAATTGCTACGATATTCCCGGGCTTGTATTTCCTATCATGATTTCCTTGATAGAGGATTGCTGCTCACAAGGAAGCTATTAAACCAAGAGTTCCAAATGGTGAAGTTGAAATCATCCCTTCGTAAATTTTACGGACGCCATCACGAGTTGGTTGACCTTTATGGAATAACCGTTTCACAGATGATATCGGATATGTTCCTTATGTCGTAACTACAATACCCTTCCCTTTTCACGAATGTGACCTACCGAATTAGAATATTTACCAGATTTGTAATAACTTAAGCAACACGACGGGTGCCACATGTGGAGCAGGATCTGCTTACCTTCCGAAGCACCTGAGATCACCCCCAGTTTTTGGTGGGGTTCGTTTTGCTTAGTCTTTAGTTTTCTATGTTGTGTCATCTGTACTATCATTTGTCTGTTTGTCTTTTTATTTTTGGCCATGGCGTTGTCAGTTTGTTTTAGATCTGTGAGTTTGACTGTCCCTCTGATATTTTTCGTCCCTCTTTTAAATTATGTGAGAGAATATAAGTTGATGCCAATATAATATATAAAACAAAAATTAAAAGATACGTATAAAAATTCAGACGAGTTAGAGTTTATGCTCAAGAGGGGAAAGAAGTTCTTGCTTGTTTCTAAGATAACTAGTTCCTTTTATTCTACAATTTTATTCGAGTAAACAAAAATAAATAAATCAATTAGGAAAGACAGTTTAACAAACATTATAAAATAAATAAATTCAACAACACTTTAAAAAAAACAACAGTAATTAAAACTGAAAGAGATCATGTTAACATAATGATCTCATGTCTACTATCTTGATCATGACACTTGCACAATTTCACGACTACCATGTAGAGAATTCTGGCTGCTACTGCCACTGCTATCACTATTAGACCGATATGTGTCAGAAGATGTACAACACCCATCACTGTTTCCAACAATACACTGTGATCTATTGAAAGATGAACAATGAACTGGAGATTTCTGTTCCTCAGACTGTAACATGTCATCAAGACTACAAGCTTTTCTTTTGGATTCGTATACTTTTGTTTGCAAAACTGCACTTCCCATTGCTGCAGAGATTTGTTTGTATATTTCTTTTTCACTAAAATGGCCTGAACAGAAGCCCCTATCTGACTGTTTTGAACGTTTATTATTTTTAAGTATATATGTGGTTGAGGTATCATCTTGTGATGTACTGCTTAAGATAGCAGAATCCTGACAATCATCTCCTAAATCAAATGTTGGGTATTTTGAAAATGCAATGCTATTAGGCCTTTCCATTGTATGTTTTATCCTTTTTTCATAGGATCTTTTAACAACATGACTGGAACTGGCTGAAGAAGTAACTGGAGTACTACTTAAGTTAGAAACTGGCGGATAGACTGACATCGTATCTTGCCTTTCTGCATGTTTTATACAAGTAGATGACATATTTTCTGTCCTTGATGAGCTGTACATATTTGAAAAACATGGCCCAAAGCTAGAGTTATCTAATACTTTTGATGAAATCTGATGTTTATCCATCAATGTTTCTGAAAAATTCAATCCTGCCATAGCTGATGATGGCGAAATGTTTTCTGATGTACATTTTTTTTTGTTAGGGATAATATTATTTTCCAATAAACTTTGTCTAGAATTATTGTCTTGTTTACTTTCATTTAAACGCTGGTTTTTCTGAATTTGATTGCAGTTTTCTCTTGGAAATGAACCTAAGTTGGCATTGTTTTCATTTTCACTAGCTCTCTTATCTTTACTTGGTGTATGTTCACCGTCAGCAGATATCATTTTTGATAATGCTAAACTAAACAATGGTTTCTTCGCTCTATTGATTCCTGATTGCAATGTGGTTATAACACATGGTTGTGAAGTAACAAAACCTGTTCTTGGTGGAAACGTCTCATTTGAATATACAGAACTAGTAGAAGATAAAGTTTGTGGTTCCTTGAAAAATGTCGGCTTTGATTGAAATGACATCCTAACTGTTTGATTAATTGATGACAAATGTTCATTCTGAGATGTGGATGAAGAATTTATTATGTTTGGAGTAGAGAAGTTTTTTTTAGGTGTAACAGATTTCGGGTTGCAGTTCCTCTCAAATGGGAATAAAGTACAGTCTGTCATATTTTCCCTTGTTTTTACTACATCTGGCAAACAAGGTGATAATGCAAGACTGAAACATTTAGATGATACTTTTTTTGTAAAGTTTGATTTACTTGTATTTCCTGGTATAATATATGAACTATTCTGATTTGCAGAATGTTCTTCTGATTTCTCCATTTCTGGAAAAATACTTGTTGACAATGAAAGTAAAACTGGTCGACTCCCTGAATATTGAGTTGATTCATGGATACTTTGCTGACTAACTGAATGGTAGGGTGATTCCTGGGTTTGACTGCATGAAAGATGAGATTGCTGGAGACATGGCTCAATAAATGGAGGATGCGGTATTTCCTGGTTATGTAACTGATCAATTGAATGTTGAGGTGATTCAAAAGAACATTGTTGACTAACTGATAGTGGAGATGGTTTGATAGTAGAAGATTCACTTACTGAATCTGCAAGTGATGGTTGACTAAGTGGATGTTGAGTCAATTCCAGGGTAAATGATCTGTTAATTGAATGATGAGGTGATTCGGTGAAAAGTGGTCCACTCTGTAAATTCTGGGAAAATTCTGCTCCCATCAGTCCACTTAGTGAATGCTGACAAGATCCCTGGGTAAGTGATACAGCAACCTGATTTTGAGGTGATTTAAGTGAAAATGGTGCACTTACTGAAAGTTCAGATGATTCCAGTTTAATGTCTTCATTTGATATTATACCCATTAACTTTTCTGTGTCTGATGAAACAGAAACTGGTGGTTTGAATATAGTGGATAATTTTGGAGAGCTTGATAGTAATGTGTCAGATTTTTTTTTAATTTCCAAATAATCATTTGCCATAAATGTAGGCTTCTCTAATATACTGTTAACTTCACTCTTTGATGAAAGACCATGGAAGTTTCTTTTCCCTTTATTCCCTTCTGATTTTGATTTCATAAAATCTTTTGCATTATCCCACATTACATTAATTGGTGTAAAATCTGCCCAGGTGTCTCCGTCACGTAATAAATTTTTGGATAAGCTATCATTAAACTGATTTGAAAATGAATCTTGTAAGGAGCCATATACAAAAGGTTTCGATAACCTTGGAGAAGATGGGCTATTTTGTAAATCCATTGCAATTGATTTTGGTTTATTATCAAGTGTGTGTCCATCATGTTGGTACTTTTCAAAACCATGCTTGACTTGTTTTTCATATTCCAGTAATTGTCCAAGAAAATTAAAATTTGGTGATATTGTTGGCCTTTTATCTTTCACATATCTGGAAAAAATCAGAAAAAGTAAGAATTTAATGCTCAATCAGAAGCTGCTTTGAATGGTTTTACACTAGTAATTTTTTGGGGCCCTTTATAGCTTGCTGTTCGATGTGAGCCAATGCTCCGTGTTGAAGGCCGTACCTTGACCTATAATGGTTTACTTTTATAAATTGTAACTTGGATGGAGAGTTGTCTCATTGGCACTCATACCACATCTTCCTATATCTATTGATATGACCACTTATTTCATATATAAATACTTAACATCAGCATAACACCCCTACGGTAAATGAAAACTTTGTAGAAAACAATCATTTTCATGAAACTTTCCAAGTCATGTAAGCTGAAATCAGGTAAACCAGAACAACGCTTATATAAGATATGTAACCAATCATTTGTAAATGTTGTGTAGATAGATATAAGAAGATGTGGTATGAGTGCCAATGAGACAACTCTCCATCCAAGTCAAAATTACCTATATTCAAAAATATCAGCTCATTATCTGCATGGAAGACTGATAATGGATGAAGAAACTTTTACATTTTCAACAAAAGTAGCCCAAAGAGACGAATCTCTTATGTGATATGTTATTAATTATTATATACTTCCTATAATCCAAATATATGTTCAATATCTGCAAAGAAGGCTGGAAAAAAGAGATAACAACTGTTTTTTTCAAGTCCAATGTCTAGTGATCAAGAACTGGTTACCATCAGAAATTCACATTTTTCTCAAATAATCTTTCAGGAACTCTTTGGGGAAATATTCTTTTAACATACAAAGGGCAAGGTTTAACACTACAGAATCTGACTTTAACTCCACTTATAAACAACGAAAAAACAAGTTACTACTATGCCTATTTTTGCTCGAAATTCTATAGGACCAGCTGCCATCACTTTTTAATCTGGTCATTAAATGATAGAATTAACATTTAATTGGGACATTATTCATGCTTTCATGTAGAAATAAGAAAAAAAAAGGTACACCAATTAAACCAGACACTTCACCATTCTGAGCATTAGTTGGAAAATATGGATGATCCTCTTCTGTTCAGAATGTGAACTTTTTGTCATTTGAAAACAACAACTTACACTGTATTGAAGAGATGTACAGACTTCAATTTTAAAGTTTATAAATCTTTTTAAATTCTTTAGAAAGAAAGTATATACTATAAAGCAAGGTTAGATATTGGTTTGTCTTCAAACAGTAAATTTTTTTAAATCGAGGAAGACATAAAGTGATGACATCATGTTCCCACGAGCGATGACATCATGTTTCCACAAGCAATGAATCATCAACATGAGGTAAAAGTTTTATTGACCAGTGTCATAAATGGCAAACTGACATATGTCATACAAAACTTTAAAAGATCATAAAGCATATAAATTCAAAATATGGATGTCTAGCTCTTAATTATAGAAACTAAAGGTACTGCTAGGAAATTATACCCTGGCTTTTGCCAATGCTTTGGTTAAGGACACAAAGAAAAATAATGAAATATAGAGGCTCTAAAGAGCCTTTGTCAATCACCTGCATCTTCAACAATAGCCATTTTTTGGTAAAAATCATCATGAAAGGGCAATAACTCTATAAAGAGTTAACTAACAATTTTAGTCCTGTTGACATATTAAATTTTGTAGATCTTGTCTTGATGATAATTTTTCCTATATAAAGTTTCTATTTATCTATCACAGTTTTGAAAATAAAAGTCAAAATTTCTGTGTTTCTATTATAGTTTTCAAATGAATAGACAAAAATGAAAAAAAATTGAAAAAATGTGACATTTAAGGGCTATAACTCCGATTAGAAGTCATCTGACAGTTTTGACAGCAGATCTCAACATTCTCAACATTTCTGCCCTTGTCAAATTTTCGCTACTCAGTGGTTTTCAAAATAACAAACAAAACTTGCATTTTACCCCTATGTTCTATTTTTAGCCATATTGGCCATCTTGGACGACAGGCGGGGTCATTAGACACATTTTTTTTAACTAGGTACCTTAATAATGATTGTGGCAAAGTTTGGTTAAATTTGGCCTGGCAGTTTCAGAGAAGAAGATTTTTTAAAAAGTTAACGGATGATGGATGCCTAGTGATGAGAAAAACTCACTTGGCCTTTTGGCCAGGTGAGCTTAAAATAGGAGGTGCAAAAAGGCATTATTTGGTGAAGGTTCTGAGAAAATTTCATCAAATTCTTATTAGGGGGGTAGGAGTAAAATGGGTATAATAAACTGCTTTGCTGAGCGCAGCTGGATTCGCCTGCAGAGGTCCAACCCTGAACAGTTGGGGCAAAAATGGACACAATATTCAAGCTTGATACAGGTCTGAATTTGGATTGTAATTAAATATTTGACATATTATAGGTTTCTGAATAAATGTAGTCAAAGAACTTGAAATTGGTTATATGAATTGAATTTATATTCAATTAAAGATTTATTGCTGTTGTGCAATACACTGTGCTGTTGCACAATACTTAGTAAATCTGTTGTCAGACTATAAACAAATAAAGTTCAATTTCTTCTCAATGTCATATTTGAAATTTATGAAAATCAATAGGGAGATTACATCAATAGCTATAAATAATTCACCAAAGTTTCATGAGAACTGCTGAAAGCATTTTTGAGTTATTGTCCAAAAACTGGAAAATCCCCCCTTTTTTAATGAATAAAACCCCATAACTCAGAAATGTAAAATCTAAAATTTATAAAATTCTAAAGGGAGCTTACATCAACAGATATAAACAATTCACCAAAGTTTCATGAGAACTGCTGAAAGCATTTTTTAGTTATTGTCAGAAAACTGGAAAATCCCCCTTTTTTATGAATAACACCCTGTAACTTGGAAACGTTAAATCTAAAATTTATAAAAATCCAAAATGGAGCTCATGTCAATAGATATAAACAATTCACCAAAATTTCTTGCAAGTTGGTGAAAGCATTCTTGAGTTATTGTCGGAAAACTGGAAAATCCCCCCTTTTTAAATGAAAAAAACCCAAAAAATCGTAAACGGTAAATCTGAAATTTATAAAAAACAAAATGGAGCTCACGTCAATAGATATAAACAATTCACCAAAGTTTCATGCATATTGGTTAAAGCTTTTTTGAGTTAATGTCCGACATGTTGACGACGGACAGACAGTCAACGGTATACCATAATACGTCCTGTAAACGGGCGTATAAAAATGTGTAATGAAGTGCTCACATGATTTATTAAAGCAAACTATGAAAATAATTCTTATCAACAAACTAGAGGGTCTAAAGAGCATGTCTCTCTCACCTAGGTCTATAAGGGCTCTTACTCCTATAAGAAGTCATTGGTTGACAGGCTGGATCATTGGACAGGTGAGCTAAAAATAGGTGCAGAAAGGCATTATTTGGTGAAGTTTCTGAGAAAATTCTTATTAGGGGGATAGGAGTAAAATGGGGATAAAAATGTGTAATGTAGTGCTCACATGATCACGAGAATGATTCTTATCAACAAACTAGAGGCTCTAAAGAGTATGTGTCTCTCACCTAGGTCTATGTGCATCATGAACAATAAACACTCTTCAAGATTGTGGACTATAATAGAATTTTTGACAAAATCTCTTTGATTTTGTTGATCTTGTATTGCTGATCATTTTTTTCTGTTTACAGTTTCTCTCAATTTTCTTTAGCTTTTATCTAAAACCAAAATAGGGTCATTTCAAGGCAATCACTCTTGTACAGACAACTAATGATTTTGGCAACATTTGATTTATTTGTAGATCTTGTCTTGCAGATCGTTTTTATTATTAAAGGTGTATGTCTATATTTTATTTTTATAGTTTTCAAGATAAAAGGTAATAAAATGCTCCACTGGGCACAGCTTGATACGACCGCAGAGGTCGAAACCCTGAACAGTTGGAGCAAGTATGGACACAACATTCAAGCTTGATACAGCACTAAATTTGGATTGTGATTAAATATTTGACACAGCATAGGTTTCTGACACAGAATGAATGTGGTCTAAGAACTTAAAAAAATTTAATTTACCTATTCAAATCATATCATTATTATTTGCTTTTATATATAAATCAAAAATAACCAATTTAAAATGGAAAATTTTAAAGAAAAAAAAGGAACCCCCTTATGATTCATCACCCCCAAACTCAATCCCAGCCTTCCCTTTGTGGTATGGTACCTTGCAGTAAAATTTCAGAGAGATCCATACACTTAAACACAAGTCATTGTCTGGAAACTAGAAAAATGCTTGTTTTTTTGCCCCTCTTTGGCCCCAAATTCCTAAACGTTTAGGGGAATTACCCCCAAACTCAAACCCAGCTTTCCCTTTGTGATATGGAACCTTGTAGTACAATTTCATAAAGATCCATACACTTACACACAAGTTATTGTCCTGAAACTAGAAAAATGCTTGTTTTTTTGCCCCTTTTTTGCCCCTAATTCCTAAAATTTAGAGGAAATTACCCCCAAAATCAATCCCAGCCTTCTCTTTGTGGTATGGTACCTTGCAGTACAATTTCAGAGAGATCCATACACTTGAACACAAGTCATTGTCTGGAAACTAGAAAAATGCTTATTTTTGGCCCCTTTTTAGCCCCTTATTCCAAAACGTTATTGGCAATTACCCCCAAACTCAATTCCAGTTTTCCCTTTGTGATATGGAACCTTGTAGTACAATTTCATAAAGATCCATACACTTACACACAAGTTATTGTCATGAAACTAGAAAAATGCTTGTTTTTTGTCCCTTTGTTTGCCCCTAATTCCTAAAATTTTGAGGCAATTTCCCCCAAAATCAATCCCAGCATTCCCTTTGTGATATGGAACATTGTGGTAAAATGTCAGAGAGATCCATACACTAACACACAAGTCATGTCTGGAAGTTACAAAAATGCTCATTTTTGGCCCCTTTTTGGCCCCTAATTCCTTAACTGTTGGTACCATAACCCCCAAAATCAATCCCAACCTTCCTTTTGTGGTATTGAACCTTATGGTAAAATTTCATTGAAATCCATTCACTTAAA